TTTAGAGCACCATATCTTCTAAATAAAAGATCTGTAGACTTGATAGTGGAGTATAGCTCTGACTTTAATAATCTCCAAGCATTAGACCGAGCCAATATGTTCCCAAGTCAGAAGGGTCCCCCACCGAACGCTCGTAAATTAAAAGTGCAGGAACTGCACACATTCATAGATTAGAAATGCAAGAAGTGCAGTCCGTCTCCAGGCAGAGAGGAGGTGTCTGCGCTCGCGTCGCCATGCGAATAGGCTAAAGACTGGGGAATGGGTCTGTTCAGGAGCACGGCTCTTGCTGGCATCCTACCTCAGCTTGGTTCTCCTGTTCGGCATTGCTGCTATTTTATCCTCTAATGACATGATATGTGTGGGGGAAGAGCTGAGTGATAGAAATGAACACTGTAAGATCTGTTGAGGCTTGACTGCACATAATAGCAGTCAGGTTTTAAGTTCCTACATTGTGTTTTCTGATGAGACATTCATTCTGATCATTTCTGCCTGTTTATGAAAAATAGGCTATTTATAGTATGTGCATGTGCCTTTTCTGCTTCAGGTTCCTGGCAGATAATATAAATTGTGGGATGGGAATTGCAATTATTGAAATTATTCGGATAAAAATCTGGCACTTATATTTGATATAAACACATGATACGCTCTGAATAATAACAGCACTTATGTTACATAATGATTCCCATTCAAGCCCTCTGCTGTCATTTTTTCAGATCTTTCATCTTTGATGAAACATATGAGCCAATCAAGTTTGCAGCCAAACCAGCTTTGCCGTGAATGTCTCAACTAACTAGCAGCTCCGTTTCTGAAAAGGAGCACGGAGAAAGCAGCTGGTCATCATGGGTTTGAGTGCTAGAAAGTGATTAATATGCATATGACATGCCTATAAACCTGTTGAGGACGGTCTTTTAAAGGCTGAAAAGGCTGCTAGAATCCTGGCTCTCCTTTGTACTTTCCAAAAGATCCTCTGAAGTAAAAAGAAATGCGGTTTCTCATTATGGTAGGGAGAGTGGCTTTTGGAGGACCAAATGACATAAGTGTTGACAATACTGCTGTGTATTTTTTAAGCATGTGGTATCAAAGGTTGCATTATCTGGAAAATAGTGTGTGTTCTTGTAATCATGGGCTGAGCTTTAACACGTGCAGTTCTAGAACTAGCATTGCCTTCTGACCACTTCACTGATGTCCTCATCCTTTCGTTGAGCTGGGTGCACAGAGGAAGCATTTTGTCCTGTGTACCCTGTTAAATGCACTGCTTTCTGCACACTTGAAAGGTTTGTCTTCAGGAGCAAAGGAAAGGGAGACTGAGTGGCTCATCCGAATCCGACCTGGGTCCCTGGGGACTGGGAGGCTGTTTGGCATCAAATACGCGAGGAGTAGGTGACGGCAGTCCTGCTTTACTGGTTATGGTTAATGCTAGTGCTTGAAGGGGCGGCAGGGGGAAGGCTGCTGGTGTAAGGGAAAGCAGACCTGTTTGCTGACACCTTCCAGCGGAGGGAGGCAGCACTTGCTGCACCTCGCTCAGAAACATCAGACCAGCTGCTGCTGAACTGGAAAAAGGAAATTATATCCAAAATGCAAAGGCACTGGGATAATGTGCAGGAAAGGAGTAGTAACAGAAGTGAGGGGTCCTCTTAGAGACTTCAGAAAAGGCAAGTTTGGGATCTCTGTGTGGGGCCAGTCACCCACAGCAGCTTCCTTTGACTGGTAGCATGTCAAACTCTGGGTGGACAGAAACACGGTTTCTGGGTTTCTGAGCTTTCATGGGGTGGAAAGAATTTTAATTTAAAGCAAATTTTCTGGTGCCAGAAACTTACTGTCTGGTGCTTTGCTGCTCATGGCTGCTCTTTTTTGTCTGTTTTTGCTGTCGGATTAAGCACAAAATCAGAGGTTAAATATTGCCAATATTCAGGTATATGCGTATTGTGTATCTCAGCTTTAAAATACTGGAACCTGTTCTTTCCCACCCCTCTTGCTGGACCTTTCTTGATCTCTGGTCTATGGCAGCTGACTCTGGTAGCTGCTTTTTTGACTGTTCCCTTGAGTGCTAGTAACCTTTCTGCTAGGAAGAGCCTGCGTTGCAAACTTAACCCTTCCATGCATGTGTTTGGTCATTAGAGAGGTGCCTTCTATAAGCCTTGGGCTAATGCTACTTTCACTTCTTAACCTCCTACTTCGTGTGACTCAGTGTACCTCCCTGGCGGACCCGAACTCTCAGGGTTTAAGTTTACCATTTTGACAGATCCTGGTCATACCAGGTACAGGGTTTAATCCTGTGCAGTCTTTTCTCCCACAAGTTTGTTTCTAGCATTACCTGTCTAACTGTTTTAGCAACATTTCTAAATCCACTCATGCCTCTGTGACCATGTGTCTTATTGAGGAATATCTGAATCCTTTAATTGCAGAAACATCAATTTTGGACTTCTCCAGCAGATGTATTCTCTTTCACCCTTGGATATTTTCTTGCAGAAACATTTATACAGCAATATGCATTGCACCATTTAAGATTGTTAATTGGAGATTGAATTACTTGTCAGCCTTTAAAAATGTAGTCCTCTGAGGTCAGAGATGAGGTGGTTAGCAGAGCTGAATGGATGAGCTATTGCATTCATTTTTTTCTCAAGCCCAATGATCATTGTCTATAAGCTGACTAGCCCTTCAGTGCCTTTTAACCTCTGGCACCCAATTCAGTCTGCAGCTGTATGTGTGAAACAAGTTGGCAGGATCTCTGATCGTTCCTGAGAAGACAGAAGAGCACACGTGCAGAAGCAGGTTAGGGGACCAACAGCCAGCCTAGCAGGATCCCTGGAAGACAGCCTCTTTAACTTGTACCTTGGCTGCGTGGTTTCTGCACCAGGGAGTGGAGTAGCTTGCTTTGAATTTGGACTGTGCTTAAGTCAGGGCCTGATTTAGAGCTTGCGTGTGCCCATATTACATGTCCCTCCTGCTGCACTCAGCACAGGTGCACGTGCACATGTGTGGACATATATGTCATACGAATGAAGGCAGCGAGCGCTCATTGGTACAACTTTTAAATGCAGCTTGGGACTACGTTGCCTCTGCTGACAAACACTGACAGGTAAATACTACACTCGCTCAGTATTACAGAGGGATTTCATTTGCACAGCCCCTCACAATGCTCTGCCACTTCACTGAAATGTCTGGAGCACTCGGGAAAAGGAACCGCATATTTATCTTGATCTCCAAAAAGGGATTTAAGGGCGAGAGCAGGCGGTATATTAGACTGTTTTCATTGCCTGTCAGCAGTGGTAAACCTGAGCTGTCTACAGTGTCTCTAGATAAGCAGCAGCAGAGGCCCATTTTGCATGTACATACGTTTGCATTAGTTCATAGACGAGGAGTTTAAATCCTCTTTATTTTTATTTTCCTCTGTGGAAAGCATTTAGCTAGGCTGGTGCCTGGCATCTGGAGGCCTGTGCTTTCCTTTTCCTTGAACCTAAATCTATGCTGCTGTCTCTTCTACCATGCCTTTTCATGGCACTGATTTTGTTAGAGGAAGATGAAAGTGTTTGAGCTCACGAGGGAGACCCAGGAACATCTCTGTGCAAAACCACAATGCTTACATTGACTTCTAAATTTTTGGGCTAGTTGCTAACTTTTGTGCCTCTGTTTCTTCTGTACATAAACCTCAACTGACACCTGTCTCATGGGGAGTTTTGTGAGGATAGTCCAGTGCTTGTAAAATGCTGAGTTTTGGGAAATGCCAGACCACCGGGCCTTTTCTCCTCCGAAGGAAAATAAATTTGGAGTTAGGAAATGATAGCATTGTGCCTTATCAGTTAGGCAATGCTTTAGATGGGCACAGTGGCTCCCTGACCCCAGCTGTGATTAACTGATGTTGTGCAGGAAGAAAGCTAATTGGTCCAGTGTAGCTTTATAACCAGATCAAAATTTTCTATTTTCATATCCCTTTAGCACCTTCTTACTTTCAGCCCAAAAGGTCAAATCCTGAGAAATGTGGAGTTCCTCTGTACTAAGGGTGAGATGAGTTATGTCCTGAGCGCTCATTGTAGGATGTCAGGATGAGGATCAAGTCAGACCCAAATATCCCTTCCCTAAGGACCAGATTGCCTTGGGCTCTGGGCTGCTCTTCTCTGGGGGCAGCCCTTCTTCCTCAAACGAGCTGTGCTGGTTGTTTGGTGGGGGAGGGCAGGTTGTTTGTGTGTGTTTGAGGGATTTTTTAAGATCTAAATGAAGCAGGTATGTAATGCCCTCTGTCTGTTAGAAAGACTCAACCCATAAAAATAACAAACGGCATGTATTTGCTAGAATGTCAAAGTTATGAGTTTATTTTGTAATGATGTGCTCCTGCCTTCATGAGGTAAACTGGCCGTGGCAGAGGTGTTATTAGTAATATGGACTCAGTGGAGCAGAAAGCCGAGTGACCGAGAGATCAGTGTATCAGTCAGTGAGAGGGCAAATGGAAAGAGACAGCAGGAGAATGAGAAAAGAGCTGCGGTGCCTGGGCTGAGATTAGAGATGGAGCCGTGCAAGAGAATTGGAAGCCCAGCAGTCAGAGTCTTATTCTTTCCAGTCTCTATAAGGAGCTGGTGGAGCTTTGTCTTTGCTATACCCATCTTTATGCTCGGTGTTGTTTTTTTCTCCCAGTTAAAGGTTTAAATGGATCCACCCTACCAGTGGTCTTCGTCAGAGCAGTTTTGAATTAATGAGCTGAGCTCAGGTCAGCACCCAGGAGACTTGGTCACGTATCAGCTCCATTGCTGCTTGGGGAAGGGCAAGTCGTGTAACTGCCCTCTGCCTCCGTTTCCCTACTTGTATCATTCCCCTTGGGGATCACTATTCATAAGATCTTACCTGCACACAGGGTTTGGGAAGGTCTGTTGTGAGTGGTTTGCTCCATCCTTTGGTGTTGAAGCGATCAAGACTTGCTGCAGGGATGGGCTTGTATGTATCTGCTTAGTCAATACCTCCTTGTCACATCCCATCCTCTGATGGTTTTACTGTTTTTCTTTCAAAAGGTGCTTGGACGGGAAGTTTATACCTCCAACAACCAGCTGGGCGGGATCCAGATAATGCATAACAACGGAGTGACGCACGGCACTGTGTGTGATGATTTTGAAGGAGTCTACACTATTCTGCAGTGGCTTTCCTACATGCCAAAGGTAATTCCTGGCCCTGCAGGAGTGCAAGGTGCCATTACATATTTGCTTTGTTCACAGGGTTTTGGGAGTGGGAGGGCTCTCAGCATCTGTGGTTTTTTTCTGTATTTGTATGGTGCCTAGCAAAATGGTTTAGGCCCATGATCAAGGCTGTTAAGCATTATCACACTGAAGAACACAAAGTAGTTTTTGTCTTAAAGTGCTGCAGGAACTGGGATGCGGGGCAGCCAGGCACTGCCTTGGGTACTTTCACATCACGCCCCTGGCGTGCTGCCCTCAGTACTCTGGGCAACAGGATTTTATGTAAGCAGTGGATTGTCTCTTACTGAAAAGACACTAAAAGTTCCCCTCTGAGGCAGTAATTTGTAGGAGTTGATGTATATGTGTAAGCTGCTCTGCAGCCAGGAAGGCAGCAACAAGAACATGCAGGTCACCTTCCTTCAGGAAAGAAAGAGTGCATAGAATGAGTCAGGTGGCCTGGTCACCTTTCAAAAATTAAACTGCAACCCCTCGCTAATGCTGGCTATGCCTGAAGTTCAAGAGCAAATGAAGTACAATGTATGCCATATGATGCCAAAGGAGGGTTTGAGAGAGTGTATGGAGCACCCTGGAGGTTTCTTCAGGCTCTCAGTGAGTCTCTGGGATCCCGTCAGTCAAAGGGTTGTGCAGTGTGGGGGAAAGAGGACTCCGACCAGGTCCTTTAGAGCTGGTGTTTGGTGCAAAGCCATGCAGGAGAATTACTTCCTTCAATATTTTTCTTTTTCCCTTAGAGTGTATACAGCCCTGTTCCTATCCTCAAAGTCAAGGATCCTATAGACAGAACCATAGAGTTTGTTCCTACCAAGACTCCCTATGACCCTCGCTGGATGCTGGCTGGACGCCCAAATCCAAGTACGTAGATCTTTGGTGGCCAGGATACGCAATAATGCGTCTTGTTTCAAGATTGTTTGTCAAGGCTTTATGTCTGCAATCCAAATATATTTCAGAGTTTATAAAGTAGTTAGTTCTAAACAATTTTAATATAATACATAAAAATAGCATGTAAATTCTGAGTGCCTGAGGACACTTAAAATTATTAGTTACTTTATAGATTTTTTTTTTTTTTTTTATGGTTCAGAGGAAAGTCCGTATACAAAGGGTCCATACGCTAAAGGAATTCCTGCAGATCTTGGAGAATAATTGTATTGGAAGTGCTGCAAACCACTGGACCCCCATGCATGCTTTTGGGGTTGTGCAGCCTGTGTACAAGCTGCAAACTGGGTGACCATTATGCCTGCTGTTATTAATGAGTTTAGGGGGCTAAAATGAGATTTGTGATAAACTAAGTTTTCTGGTTTTGGATAATATTTTTTCATCATCTCTCAAGTAATTCATCCAGCTGTCTGAGTGCAGCTAACGCTGGCTTCCAAATCGAGTGACTTCAGATTTTAATTTAGTGGAAGCGTTAAGGAAAGCAGATGATTCCCTGTGATAAGTTAAAGCAGATATCTCCTAGGTGAAAAGTTAAAGCCATTTATTAGAGGAGATATTGCCGTGATATTCTTCAAACTGACGCCCGACACGAGGCCAGAATCTAAACGATCAGCTTTGGGCTCACGATAAAGAGATAATTTTGAAATGGATGGTCACATTTTACAGTGGGGCCACAGAGGCAAGGAATGTAGAACACAGTAATTACAAGTTTGGTCTTGATAAAACACTCTCCATCCTGTTTAAGTCAGCAGAGGTTAGCTTGCTTGGATCTCCACTTTTAATTGGTTTTGGACTTGGGTTTGCAGAAGCAGAGGTGCTTGTTCAGATTAAAGCATTCCTCAGAAGCTGTGTGCCAAGGGGTAAAGCTGGGAGGGATTTTGGGGGTTTGGTTTTGTTTGTTTTTTTTTTTTAAGCTTCATGAAGCCCCAGTGGAAAGCAGGTGTCCCCAGAGAGTTGTCATTTCTGTACTTGTCTGGGTGGGTAGAGTATCGTGATGCCTTGACTTTGGGATATACAGCTTATACAGGCTGGAGGACTGCAGAGAGAGAGCTGTCTGCAAATCTTACTTGTCACTCCCCAATACAGCATCAGCAGTCAGCCCAAATGAAAGCTCTTTGTCTTGTCCTTATCTGTTCACTGGAGTAGGGTCCAAGCTGAAATGCTGGGAGACCTTCCTGCCAAGGTCTTCCTGTCTGGAGAGTGGAAACAGTGCCATGCCACTGCACAGGTCAGCGTCGTGGGGCTTAACTCGTTCATAGTGTCTTTAGTGTCCACTTAAGATACGCAGGTGGAATGTAGAGAAATACACTGTAAACTGCCACCCCGCTTCCCGAAGGGGTAATTGTCATCCTGAGGATTTTATTTGAAGGAATGTATGTGGATTGTTAGTGTACAGATCTGTTGTTGCACGTGGGGGTGGAGAGATACAGTCAATATATTGGAGTTTGTGATGCAGGAGGAACCCCAAGTGTGATACTGCACTGGCTTTATAAAGGGCAAATAATACTAGTTCTTAGTTAGCGTGATCAGGGTAATCAAGCCCTCATACTTCAGGGTAGAAGCTGATTGTCTGCAAGGGCCAGGAAAAGTTTCTTTCTCTTAGAACTGCACAGTCATCTTGATAATGTGCTCTTCGGGAACAGTTTGATTTCTCTCAAGCATTAGGAAGTTGCTGCCTTCTTTGGGCAAGAGAATAGGTCTGATAGCATATGGGCTGATCCAGGATGGTGACTCTTAGAGCATGCTTTAGTTTAGGGAGAGGTGCATCTGGTATCTTCTATGGAGCAAGCAAGCTTTTGGTATCAGAGTACTTCATTTCAGTTTTTCTAAAAGAACGTGTGAAACATGCTCAGGTATGTGATCTAGTTTTAAAATGTCATAGAAATTTTTATATTTAGTTCCTGAATTTCTTCAGCATTCTTTCTTTAAAGGAAAGATTAGGCAGAATCAAGGAAAAATGTGAGGTAAGTTTTAAAATAGAAATAGGCATTTTGAAAAACATCTTTAATGACTTTACTGCCTTTTGACAAATGTTTGCAGTGTCTTGAAAAAACCAGTTATTTATTTAAAAGCACGCAAAGTCCCTCTGCTATCCGAACCCCATCGTTTAACAATAAATGATGCTTTTGCTGATAAATGACTGTCTTTATGCAGACTAGCAAATGAAATAAGACATGATGGCTGAAGGCAGACAAATGCTCAGCTGTCTAATGTTCCCTTGTATTATAATCTATTTAAAAATAAACAAATAAAAAGACAGTGCCAAGTTCTCCAGTTGGCATTTTTAAGCAAGTTTCAGTTGCTCCTTTTATATTCTCTCTTCTTTCTTTCCTCCCTCCGCCCTCCTCTGATATTTCCATTTTTTTCCCTTCCCTTTAGGTCAAAAAGGACAGTGGCTAAGTGGTTTCTTTGACAATGGCTCGTTCCTGGAGATCATGCAACCCTGGGCACAGACAGTTGTGGTTGGTAGAGCAAGGTAAATTCTAAGAGGCATTTTAGACATCTGTAGAAATCAAGTTTTCGTTATGCTTTGCATTTTTCTAGAACCTCCTTTGAAAGTTGATGGCTACAAGTAAAAATAAGTCATTACTTGAATAGGATACTTCTTTACCACATGGATGAAGCATGGTCTGATCATTTCTCCTGTTTTGCTTGGAGGTGACAGCTTTAACATGCACAAAAGCCAAAAAGAGAGAGATTGTTAAAAATCATGGCAGACAGTATATGCTTCCCTAGGTACATGGTTGCATAGTGAGGCCTTCTTGCAGCTCTGACTTAGCAGTTTACTGTTTTGCAATCTTATTTGACTTGCAAGAAAAGTTCAGCTAAAACTAGAGCAAATTGCAAGAAACTCTGCACAGAGAAGAGCTTAACCTGAGGTTTGCGTGGAATAACTTGCAGCATTTTCCAAACCAGCACCTGCCACAGCTGATCTTAGTTGTTTTTCATGATGCAGAGATGTGTAGCTCCAGAGACCTGTGGCACTCACCTCCTCCCAAGGGGAGTCACTTCCCCGTACCTTGCTGCAAAGTGGCACCTGTGCAGGATTCTAAAATGTTCCCTGTTGCCTTGAGATTTAGATCCCTGCCTTGAAAATATTTGCAGCCTGGGTCATTCTCGGTGTTGCGGGTCCGTGAACTCTTGGAGCTAGCAGGAAGCAGAAGCCTGGAGATAGGATCCTGCATTTTGACAGAAAGCAAATCACAGCTGGGCTCAAAACCCCCTCGATCACCTCTTTCTAGTTTCTTTAGTGTTTTGCCCCCTCCAAAATGGCACTGTGACTTTCCTGATCTGATTGTCTACCTCCTCTCAGAATAAAGTCATTTTGAAAGAGTACATTTATCTCCCTTGAGTTTCCACTACAAGTGCTTGAGCTGTCCAAATGCAGCGTGCTTATCCTTTGTCACTCTTCGTTCCTCAGACTACCGCCAGCTCTCCTCTCAAGACAGAGCTTCATACTCTTGCCTCCAGCAGACTCCCAGCTCCTAATTGATGTCAGTATTTTTGGTTAATTGTCAGCCTTTTCTTTTTTTGTTAACAAGTGAGAGGGGAGAAAAAAACCTTAAGTGCCTGAATGGGATCCTGGAGACTTCAGGTGTTACACTTAATGAGATACAGTCGTGCCCATGCATGACGAGTGTTCAGAGTGCTTTAGTTCCTAGCAGAAGTCTGCATCAAAGAAAAATCTTTTATTTACAGATCTTTCACCTCCCGTACTGTCAGTATCACAGTGCCAACAATCCAGAGCCAAAACACCTGATAATGCTTACAATCTTCTGGAAATCCTGTGGCCACCCCTGGGGTCTGACTCCAGCCTCTAGCCTCACCAAATTGGTGACTCAGGGACTGACCATAGTACCAGGATATCCCTGGTGATGCTGTGTTTGATTACCAGAGCATTCAGTGGGAGACGGGGAGAGACACCACTGTTCCTGAACACACAGCACAACTGGGGTAGCCAACTAGGCTCCCAGCCAGTATAGCCATGAATCAATGCTGTTTCTTATCTCCATTATGTTAATAGCACACATGGGCCCAGAATATTTGGCACTGGGAGCTCCCATTTCTCTTCTAGACTCTTTAAAGCCGCAGCTCTACAGAGTCCTCCTGATGAGGGTCAGAGAGCCAGAGGTCATGCTGTGAGATAGCAAAGCGTATGGCATTCACTAGAGCTCATGTGCGACATCTCAGAGGCCTGTGTCCATTCTGGACATCTCTAAAATAGCCATCAGGAGCTATGCTAATATTTTAATGCAACGCTGCATAATAACTGAAGGAGGCTTCCAGATACGAGAGCATGCTCAGCAAAATGTCCCTCTGTTGCTCTTTTCTTAAGACTTTTGAGGGTCTTTAATGGGTTTGGAACTGCCTTTGGACTATCCTAGTGCAGAACGTGATATGGTGAAACATACCCATTTCCTCAGATACTGTATCAGGGCAGGAGGAGTCTGTGCTCAAGACAGAGCAAGGTGGTAGTGTATGGGCCGCACAGCTAGAGACGAGCTGCTGCTGAGCCAAGGGGACATTCGTGTGCAGGTGCAGCTCCGCTCTGCCCTCGTGGAATTCCATGTCTCTGACCACTGCTGGTCCCAGGGGTCTGAGTGCTATTACCCCGAAGATCCTTTCCACTCAGAATGTTGTCTGATCCTTATACATTGTTGAGGGGAGCCGAAAATACCTGCTGACTCCACTCCTAATTGTAGCACGTAACCTTGGGATGTCCTGTGACCTTTTGATACACTTCAGTATTTTTATCTGCCATCCGTGACACTCTAAAGTTTTACTCACAACGTCCTATAATTATTTAAAGGCTTTTAGGTTAAGCAGTATACTGGGGGGCAGTCAACGATTTGGCAAAGCTAAAAGGTCTCTGTCCAGGCCCATGCTCAGCTTCACTTCCAGTTCCTTTCTTCTGACAAATTCCAAGTTGCTTTGGACTCTCACATACAGGTATATATAATACAAATGAAACTGACTTCTTTCAAAAGCAGTGGCATTTTGAAAAAACAAATATGAATGTATTCTTCTGGGATTGTTACTGTAAGTGCTGCCAAAACTCATCTTTTGTATGTATGTTTGGAATATGTGTGCTGTTGGCTGTAAATTGTCTTTTATTATTCTATGGCAACTTGTCCAGGGACACACTATAAAACAAGATGTAGCATCTTCATGTGCTAGCCTGATAAAATTTATATGAAGTATAATGGAAAACAGAAGTTGTTTTGAGCTGTTTTCAAGTTCAATAAATAACTGTAATACTTGGATAAAGATGTTCTTTATTAGGTCACATGGGCCCTAATATAGAAGTTATAAGTTACCGATTTAAGACGGCTTCTGCAATTACGGGTTTCTAGGCAGACTCTTAATCATAGTGAATGGGAATATTTTCAACCCCCTAGTGCACATAGGCCTTGTCGCTTTTTCTGCCTGCAGTGCGTGTCATCCAGCTGGAGGTGGTTGAGGAGAGAGTGTAGGCTCTGCTGGGACTCCCGTCCTGGGAGTAAGCAGTTGTCATCGCAAGCGAGATGCCTTTTGTGTAGAGGAATGGTTAGATGCTGTGGAAAGTGGAGCTGAGCATCCTCCCTGGTGCCTACACTCCCTGCCCATCCCTCCGTTCCTGCACCCTTCCCGTCCTTGCAGTCATCCTGCAGCAGAGGGTCTTGGGAGGAGGTAGACGGACAAACCCAAACCTTTACCCATCATTCACCCATACCTCTTGGAGTGGGAGTTTTTGTAAGCGGTGGAGGTTTAGGATGGCTGAGTCATCAGCATTGCGTAAACATTCAGCCTGCGGATGTATTTCGTCATCTGACAGTGCTTGTGAAAACGGGGATTGGGAAGCCTTGGGTCTTCATGTTTATTTTTCGTGGTCAAGACCATCAGGATCAAAATCTGTGTGGTGGCAGGTGAGGGGTGGCGGAGATGTAGCTATATTGTTCAAAATTTGGGCTTTGGCTTATTCTATTTAGTTTTTAGTATGTGCTAATTTTTAGAACTAGATTTTGCTTTGAGAACTGTAAATTCTACTCTGAAATTCTCCAGCCACATGCCTAAACTCTTCAAAAAGGCCAGAATGCTTCTTCCGCCGTTCGCTTGCATTATTTGTCTCTCTTGAGTATTTTGATGCAAATTGGAAAAGATTTCTAGTTGTGTAACAATAGAAATATGAATTTTGATTTGTCTCGCATGTTACCAGGCTGGGAGGAATACCTGTAGGAGTAGTTGCCGTAGAAACGAGAACAGTGGAGCTCAGCATCCCTGCTGATCCTGCAAACCTGGACTCTGAGGCCAAGGTAGGTTGAATGTATGCTCGGCTGCTTGTTTGTCCTCTGCAAATGTCTCTGTGGAAAGAGCATTTGTTTTGATGGGATTTTTTTTTTTTGTGCCAAATGTGGGACAAAATGGATAGCCGTTCCTTGATGGGGTGCTAATGCATGGCACCTGCTGGGAGGAGTGAATGGACAGTTGTGTTGGCCATTCGTACAGGAGACACATTCCCCAGCAGTCCTGCTTCTCTTGCGACTTAGGTGAGATACAGGGACTAGGGCCCAGGAGATCTGGCAAGCAAAAATCATTTCTTTGTTCTCTTGCTGTGACCATAGTGTTTCATGCTGTTTCTGCTCTGACATTTTGCTTTTATCCTTCCTGATTTCACAGCTCTGGCCCTATATCATCTCTTCTGGGTTTTCTCCTTTGCATATCCTTTTCTCTCTCTTTTTCTCCTTCACCTTCTTACAGCAGTCATAGTGTCAGGCTTTCCAGACCATCCCTGTTCCTCTTTCTTGCTAAACCAGTGGGAACACTCCTGTTGATGTTGGTCACAGAAGGGTTGTCCCAATTTTTCTGTGGACAAGCAGATCCTAAGCATTTCATGAGCTGCGTTCCTCGTTGTTGGTTCCACATCACAGCTCTTGTTGCATCCATTTCTATATTTTTGTGCTAACTTTTATATTAATGTAAGTGTTTCAAGGCTTAACGATCTTTTTTGTTCCAACAGATAATCCAGCAGGCTGGTCAAGTGTGGTTCCCTGACTCTGCCTTTAAAACTGCGCAGGCTATCAATGACTTTAACAGAGAAGGGCTGCCTCTGATGGTCTTTGCTAACTGGAGAGGCTTCTCTGGTGGAATGAAAGGTAACCATCAATTTGGATCCGCTTTTAGTGTTGTCCTGTAGAGTGGCTTGTCTTTTACTCCTCAGGGCACCGCTGCTGTTCCCCGCTGTGGCATACCCACTAGCACTAGCTCTACTGGTTTAGTGTCCAGAAGTGGTTCTCTGGGGACAGACCAGCAGTGAGAGGATGTGACAATGGACAGAAACAGGTCATGTCTTTGGGCAGCAGCTAGCTATTGGGTTGGCTTAACTGTGGTGACAGCTTGTACCCGTAAACTTGCAGAGTGGATCTGCTTCACCCGTCTTTGATGCAGTCTGCATCCAGCCCCCCTCTTTCATGGCAAGTATGTGACCTCCTTTAGAAATGATAATAAGGGGATATTTTTCTAGGCCTACGAGAGTGTTTGGACATGTCAGCCTTCTGAAATCCTGTCAATGCTCTGCCCAGCCCTGCTGAAAGTCAGTTGTGATCGTTGCACAACCAGCTAGAGGAAAGGGACACTCTACGCTGCAGTAGCTGTGGTGATGAAGGGTTTCATTTCTCTTCTCCCCATGTATGTCTTGTCTTAATAGGCACGTAGCAGGAATAACAGAGAATATGCAAGGTGCAATTTGATAGCAAGTTCTTTTCAAAATAAGCAAGTTCTTTTTCTAACACACACTTTAGTTGTATTTTTATATGTACCCTCATATACCGTTATAGGAACTGGCCAGATCATCTGCAGTGAGAACAGGTAATTGGATGTTAACAGTGGTCTAGTTGCTAACAAAATTTACAGCTGCCAACCTGGGCTAATTAAACACTAATCTCAGGAAACCCCTTCTGCGCAGAAAACTTCTGCCCCAGCTTAAAATTGGGGCTGGATAAGCCAGCAATATTGCATATCAAAAATGTATAGACATATTCTGTCAAGTGCAAACATTGTCTCAGTTAATGTACCAGCAGTTAGATTTTTGTACCACATAATGCTACTGTAAATTTTGTGAAGTGCCAAGAATGTGAGATTGATACAATAAAATTTAAATAAGTAAAAGATTATGGCCTCTTACCTGCATGTGGCACTTAACAAACACAGAAGAAAAATTACAGTTGCTCTAACATGGTAGAAGTTCCTGCTCTGGAAAGACTGGCAGGGTGACAAAGGCTGTCTTGCTCTGCTGTCTCATTAGCAGGGCAGAAAGCAATGCCATTGAGTTTGCAGATGCAAAGACGGAAGATGGCAAAATACGGCAAAATTCTTCCCTGTGGAAAATACCTGTTACCTTTCAGGATGGTTTCTGCTCTCTGTGCTGCTACTTCACTCCCTTCATGAGTTGCCTTCCCTACCGCACAGCTTATGGGAAAGTAGTTGATTAATGAATGCTTGGTAAAGTTACAATATTATTTTGCCTTACTGTGTTGCGAGATCTGTTGGCTTTGCCAGCACCCTTTGCTGGGTTCCTCAGAAACCAAGTTTAGCTTTGGAGTTGGGACCAGAAGCCCAAGGTGGAAAAAGCACTACGAGGATGCCAATATTTGTATTGCATATCCCCAGCTGGTAGCAGGAGGAGGAGAGAGCCACTGCAGGGGAGGGAAGAACAGAGCCATTGCAGTTTGCACCTTGGTCCGTGCATTTGCCTGCATATTGTTAGCTGTTGGGGCCTGCGTAGCAAGCGTTGGTCTCTCCTGACACTCTCTGCGTTCCTTGGGGAGTTGTTTGCAGTTTTGGTTTCAATGCTGGCTGGGGATTATGCAGGGAGGGAAAATAAACAATTATGCCACCCCTCAGTGCACACAAACACACTGCCAGGAGCCGACTGCACTGTGGGTAAAATGACTCCAAAATTGTGTGTAATGAGTAGGAAAAGATTAGAGACAGCTCTTGCTATGCTGAAAATTGACATTAGCGGAGGGGGAAAAAAAAGAGAGAGGAAAAAAAAAAACCCTCTCTTTACTAGTCGGCCTAGGAGGTCTAATTCAAGCCGTAAAATAAATAAATAAATAACATAAATAAAAGCGTATCACAATGGTATTGGTGGTTTCCCCAATGAGCTCTATCTGGCCGGAAGGCTATTCAGCATAATGCAAAATTAAATTATAAAAACTGGCTTGAATATTTAGATGGAGGAGCCATTTGGAAGTGGTTTATTTAGGCGAACCGGCAGTGACCCACAACGGGGAGACATCAAGCGTGAAATTTACTGGAAATTAGCACCAGGGTCTTGGACTCGGCATGAATAGTTTGATAGCATGCAAATCCCCGCGACATTAAACTGCAGCGCTGCTTGTGCTACAGGGTCACTCGCAGTTGGTTTTTCATGTTTTACTTATTATTTTCTCCTGGGACAGGTTATAAATAACAATAAAAAAAATTTCAGCAGAATGGAAAGGCTGTTTTAAATCTCTGATTACCTGGATGTTGAATGACAGTATTGCTTGTATGTAATGGGTTTATGAGGGACATTATGTGTCTGCAGCCAATATATGCCTGGTGTTTACCTTCAGGTCCTATCTGATAATCCAGCCAAGCTGATGAGATCCATTCCAGCTTTGGAGGTTCAGGGCACGCTGCCCGAGACTATGGAAACGCAAAAAGCTGTCTGCAGCCTTTCTAGCATGCTTGATGCATCTGAGTGCCAATATTTACACATACAGTGTAATGATAACAGCTTCCAGCAGATTTCATGTCTATGTGTAGTAGATGCTGATGCACACTGCAGCTGAGCAGGCAGGCGGAGAATGGGAAAGTGTGCTGTGAACGCTGTCTGCCCTACGGAATAACAAACAACACTGCTTTTCCTAGAGATCTGCTGTCTTGCAAGTGGCTTATTACGCTGAGGTTTAAATTAATACAGGAATTAAATTTGGCCCACAAATATAATATATATATATATAATTGAACAGTCGATGGCGGGAGGGGAAAACCCTGCAGGGTGCAGGCTGCTGTTAATGCTAGAGACAGTTCAGGAACCCTTCGGTAGCCTGTGGACACTGCAGTTCCCCTTGGCTCGTCTCTGGAGCTCGGCAACTTCTGTGGTCTGGAGCTGTGCGTGGCACCATGGGGACCCTTCACTGGTGGCAGTCAGATTGATTGTCTCTTCTTGATTTGGGCAAAACTTGGTCTCCATTAGTGGAAGCCGTTACCTTAAAAAAAGGGGAAATCCTCTACAACAGAGGCGTTCACAACCAGATCTGAAACTAGTGCAGCAGCAGGTCCCTTGACCTCGGTGGAAGTTTCGAGCGTGCAAGAGAAGCCAGCAGTTGCTGTAAATCCATATATAAAATATTAAGCTAAGGCTGCTGGGACATTCCAGGAAAACAAAGTGCTGTATTGCGGGATCCCAAAAGCAGTAACTGTGTACAGAACCGCATAGTGGTGAAGTTCATGCTTCTGGATAGCTTTGACACTCTGATCCTGAAAGTATTGTAGGCAGAGAAATACTTCCCTGACCTTGCTGATGCCACCTGGTAAACCTGGTAGAGATTTGGAGCTATGCACAGAAAGCATCAAGTTTCTCTCAGTTTCTCTGCTCCTCCTCCCTCCGCCTTGTTCAAACAAGTAGCACTTCTCTTTTCTACACTTAACCTGAGTAAAATATATACCCTTGGCAGGAGTGAAAAATGTATTGCTAATTACGCAATTATTTTATTATGTAGCACTAGTAAAAAATGTCTAGTAAAGAATTAATTCAGTTAAAATAATTTGAATCAAGCAATTATTTTCTTAACACTAGAATTAGCCGAAAGTACTTCAAGTGGTTTATTACTAGCACTACATAATAAAATAATTGTGTAATTAGTAATAAATTTGTCACCCCTTTTGAGTCTTTTTCTTTGCTCAGGACAAAGGAAAAGGTTGGAGTTTTGTTTGGTTCTCAGTCCCCATTTTCTCTGCCAGAATTTATGTTTATTCGCAATTAAGGGAAATAAATCGTTCTTCTCTTCATCAGCATTTGACATTTCTTAAATAACATGAAACTCCTTTTCTTGGGTACTTGGACAATGACCTTGCAAATGAACTGGAGTAATCACATCAGTGCCTATGGTGCTAATATATACATATATATACACACACACACACACACACTTTATATACACCTCTGTCGCTTGCTCTGTATATGTTAGTGTGTGTATATATATATGTAAGAGTGTGTGTGTGTATTTCCCAAAGAGTTAAGTGCTTAATTATGTTCATGTTAATGCTTAACATTAAACTGGGGTTAAATGACAAGGGGACCTTGGCTGGAGTCTCTTTCTTCCCTGGAAATAATGGCTTTCTCAAGTGATTGTAAGGATTTTAGATGAATAAAAGCGTCTCAGTCATTTAAGACTGTTACTGAAGGCCACCGTGTGTGTGTGGTACATATATGCAACCCACTTAGTTTTCCTGCTCTATGCACTGGTATTTTAATGGCCAGAAAAAATTAGGCAAACTGGAAGGCGCTAAGCAAAGAACAAAAATGATGAAGGGGCTTGAAAATACGGTCCTGGGAGACATGAGAAATGAATACCTATAGTGTGTCTAAGGAAAAAAAAAAAACCACCCACTGGAAAGCGTACTGCTATTTATAGCAAGCCTGAAGAAGTGGAGAGATTATGTAGGGATGCAAGGAGTAGTAATATGGAATTAATGGGGATGGGGAAGGAGGGGAAGTTTGGCTGAATACTGAAGAAAATTTCATCTATTTGACAGTGGAAATGCCCCTAAAGAAGTAGTAGATTTATTGTTTGGGATTTCTAAATGAAAGCTTTAAAAAGCACTGGGAAAGAAACGTAGGATACAGTCCTGTGTGAACAGGCCTAGATGATCCTAATAAGTATTTTTCATTTCTTGTATATTTGATTTGATACTTCTATATATAATTATATGTAACAAAAAATATATATATATTCGAGAGTGCCTGTTTCCATTACGAACTATATCCATTATAAACTATATCATCTCAAATAAATTCTTTTGTCTTCCTTTTTTCTCTTTTATTTAAATCACCTTTGGGGCTGATATTTTCAATGTACTGTCTTTACACAGTGGAGTTGTTCTTATTAATTTTAAGCAAAATGCCTTAAACAAATTTTAATGCAAGAAGAGAAGAATGCTATTTCACATCTGAACCCTTCCCACACACTAATTTTTATAAAGATATGCAAAAGGTCTGCTGCCGTTAGGTGTGCCATGCACATGACATGAATCATGATACAGGTCCAGGGTACTAAGTCTGAAATTGGGCAGCTGTGCTCGTATTAAGTACAGAAATAGCTGATCTGACTTCCAGAACTGCTGAAATACTCATTGGCTTGGCTGGAAAGTAAGGGATGGATTATCTCCAGGACACACGGTGTAGGACTGGTGGAGGACCCTGCAGTTCATGTTTTGTGAATAGATGTGGTCACATTGGAAGTAACTGGACCAGATCTCCAGAGTGGAGGTCCAGTGTCTGGGAGCAGGACTGGTGCGGGAACATCTCCTTTCTCAGTCTGTCTTGCCCAGGTCCAGGTAACACCAGCCAGAGCTTGCAGTATGGTAGCAGGAGTGGTTAGAAGAGCTGAATAATTGTGGTTTTTTCCCCGTTTGACCAAGTGTGGCAGGGCTGAAGCATTGGCATGCTGTGACTTAAAGCGCTGTGTTCTTTTTCTGCAGACATGTATGACCAAGTGCTCAAGTTTGGTGCCTACATTGTGGATGGCCTGAGAGAGTATCGTCACCCCGTGCTTATTTACATCCCACCGCAAGCGGAGCTGAGAGGAGGATCCTGGGCTGTGATTGACCCTACCATTAATCCTCGTCATATGGAGATGTATGCAGACCGAGAAAGCAGGTATGGCATCTTTCTCCTCCCTCCGTAACCACCTGCTTTGAGGCATAGTTACCTGGCCGAGTGAGAAGCTCTCAGTTAAGAGTGTGGCAGTTGGTTACTGAAAGGGGCTGACCACTTTCCAGTTGTAACCCTGTCTCAGAGGAGTTTTCTGTGTAGTGATCACACCTAGGACAATTCGGATCATCTCCTGACTCAGACTTAGATGGGGGTAAAATCTGTAGCTGGTATGAGCCAGCCTCTGTGAAGGTTCATTACTAACATTCACAAAGCACAGTGAGATGTTGGTGCTTAGGACTTTTTTTTACCGTTCTGATATTTCCACACACTGCTTTAAGCTTTGAAACAAGTGCTTGTGTATACAATTTTGCAAATTAAGTAAGTGTAAATAAGTGTGTACTTTAAAATCCCTGAGTGTCGTACTATCTGTCATATGGGCACTTGGGTAGTTGCACTTTTTTAATGAAATACAACTTAATCAAGTGAAGTTCTAGTTACTGGTGGTTCAGGATATAAAACTACAGGCAAACTCTTGGAAGCAGGTTTTTAAAAATATTTTAAAGAATCCCTAAAATACAGAGATACTGAATCATTTGGAGGAAAAAGCCAGCCCTGCCTGGGCTATCTGTGGCAGATAGAAGGAAGGCGTATAGAAGGACAGCATGAATATTGTGCTATCAGGGCGTCCTCTCAACTCCTACCATCTCAGCAGGGCAAAATTCCTGGGCAGCTGATCCAGGGAGAGGGAAAAAAGTGTAGGTGGGGAAAAGTTGAGAAGATACCCTTTCCAGATGCCCATTTCCCTTGCCTTTCCCAGCTGAATTTTGCTGATGGGACACTTGCCCCCGTCTCTGTTCTAAAGAAGCAAGACAGAGACACCTGTGGTCTGTTGGCCTTTGGTATTTCCTGCGTCTTGAGCAAACATTGTCTAGTCTTCACCTCCTGGAAGATTTTGCTGTTCTTTTCCTACTTAGAAATGTGGAGTCTGTTTACTTCACAGTCAGACACAGTGTGAGCAGGATTTCTACCAACTACTTCCCCTACCAAGTGTTTTTTGGGGTGCATGCAGGAACAACTCCCTCCCGCTGCTCCTGCCCTGTACCTTTCTAGGATGCCGGCAGCGTGAGCTCGCCTCTCGGAAATCTCAAGCCAGCTTCTTACCTTGCAAGACGTCAGGAAGGACAGTGTGTGGTTTGCAGAGCTGTAGTTGGACTCTAGAGGTCTTGAGCTCCAGTAGCCAAGAAAGATTATTTTGCAAAATATGTCGTCCTGTCCCTAAGTACCGTTACGCATTTGTGATAATTCTCATTGCTGTTGCTGTTCTGTAACCCTCAGTGCTGAGACCTTCCTCCTTGTCATTACTCCTGCCCTCACAGTTAAAGACTGAAGTGGTTTTATTTACCAAGCCCAAGTTTGAAATCACGTGCTCCTCTGTCTTTGACCTGGGAAGTGGGCAGGATCTCTGATGAAAATGGCTGGTTAATTGGTTTGTTTCATAAAGCTTACCTACCTTTTGAAAGAGCTTTCAGGTCACAGCTTAAAAGAGACTGCTGAAGAGCATTGCTTGTACCAGGCTGTACTATATACTGTTGGATAGACGTGTTTCTGTGAAGCCTGGTGTGCATTTGTGGCATTGGATAAATAATAGCTAAGATTCTTTCTTTCTTGTTCTCTCTTTCTCTTTGTTTTGTCTCCCTCCCCCCCTTCTCTTCTCTTCTTTTTTTACATACTTTGTAGAAAACATTGAACCGTTCCATTTTGTGTTTCCCCTTGTCTGATGACCTGAAAGTGCCTTTCTTTTCTCTTTTCCCATCACTGATCAGAGGAGGAATCCTGGAACCAGAGGGGACGGTAGAAATCAAATTCCGCAGGAAGGATCTGGTGAAGACGATGAGGCGAGTGGACCCCGTCTACATCCGCCTGGCAGAGCGGCTAGGTACGTCTGCGCGGGGGCTGGCGGAGCAGTGATCCGTTAGCTGGTGGCTAATGAATGTGTTTATAGACCTTAAAAAGGGGCACTGAGGCATTTTATCAAATTCATGATAATTTTTATTTACTGTCATCTAACTTGGGAAGAAAACCAGATGAGACAAGCTGCATGTATGTACATGTGAGAGAGATGATATTCATGTGCGTTTAGCATACCTAGGGTGTGTGTAATATAGTGTCTTTTTGAAGTGATTTCTTTTTTTTTTTTTTTTTATTGAATGGGTCTTACAGCAGACACTTTCTACAGATGCTTGAGTCTAGTTTCCATCTCAGCAATTGCTCAGATCACTAAAAGCTCATGGGCCAAACCTTCAGCTGGTGTCATTTGGCATAACTAAGAATTTGGTCAAAACTGTTTTGGGCTGCTGGACTATCACTGTGTGTCTGAGGTAGTTTTGAGTAATGATATCTCTCTGCTCTTCAGTTTCAAGAAAATAAAAAATATTCTTCACCTCCTCAGTAAAGTATGGTGTGATCTGCAGTGCTCGGTGGCGAGCACGTCACTATGTGTGTTGTATTATTACTGTGCCTTTCGCTCCAAATGATCCCAGCGTCTGGTATACACCCAACAACCCAAAATACAGCGTGTTCAGCAAAATGCACTTAATATCAGATATGTACTCTCTCAGGGGAATAGACTCTTTAAATAGTTCTTTACTAGCTCTTACCGTAAGAGTATAATCTTACAGAGCCTCTTTTTACCTCCAAAATTGACTACATTCCAGTAGTGGAAGAAGCATGCTTGTGGGTATGGTTTGAATTTATAAAGCATTTTGGGATCCTTCAGGAGGAAAAGTGTTCTGCAAATGACTGATAAATCGTGGCTATTGCTGCAGTTACATTTTATTATTTGGCTTTTTTTAATTTATGGCAGTGCAACAATTTATTTACAAAACAACCATTCTAATATGCCTTGGGAAGAGAATAATAATTGTAAAGGGTGTGGGGAGTGTTAAGAATCGGACTGCTTGCTGAAAACCAGGTTCTTACTGATGTCTTTGATAGCATCAAAGACATTTTCTCTCCTTTTTTAATGATAGTATTTTGACACTCTCTTTGTTTTCTCTCACTGTGCCGATTGCTTTCTGGGCAAGAAGCAGGTTAGCAGGTGTTTGAGTTTTGCAGACCAGCACAAGGCAGCAGTTTTATCTGAGTTCAGATCTTGCTCACATACATTATGTGTTACTGCGTGAGAGAGCGGACGCAGATACCTGGGTGGATGGACGTGTTGTTCTGTCTGCCTGTGTCTGTTGGAATTAAAAACCAATTTTAATGTTTGTAGTTGCAGCAAGGAGATTCTTTTTACAAAACCTCACTTTTGACCTATGTTAGACTTGACAGTGTCCCTTTAGGAGCAAACGGATAGCGTGACTACACCAAATCGTGGAGACCCGGGACAGGGTCCCAACAAATGCTGTCCTAAGGTGTTTCACACTTCACAGTTTAAAGGCTGCACGTGAGTTCCTTACGCTGTCAGGGCTCGCAGCTGCACCTCCTGCGGGTGTTTGCACCTCCGCGTCGGAGGCAGGAGAGCCGCCTCTCCGGTGCGCGAGTCTCCAGGGGAAGGAGAAATCAGATGTGTGGTTAGAGAAGGCAATATGCTGAGCAGTCAGCTCAGGTCCATGCAGATAAATGGCACTACGGCAGGAGCACTGTTTCTGAGAGTATTTACCTTCGCCCCACCATAACAAGCACTGGCTCTGCCGACAAACAAACCAACCTACTGCCTCTGCAAAGAAACGGTGCCTTCCGTGTGGCGGCTGCCGGAGGAATCCTTTCCCAGGAGCAGAGTCACTGGCTGCAGACAAAGAGGGCTGCCAAACTGTTTAAATTCTGAAGCGGCGGAGGAAGCGGGAGAGCAGAGCAACGTGAGCTTAGTCACTGTTGGGTGGCCCCTCCAGAGGGTCCGTCACCCAGACTGGGTGCGGGACGCCTGCAGAGCACCCTTGAATCACCCCAGTGGGACTTGCACCAGCATTCCCAGAAAAAAAAGCAGGGAGAAAGAGGGGATACAGTTTTCTGCCAACAGTCTCAAAAATCCAACACCACGCTATGTGAGAAGGCAGGAGCCTGTTCAGGGTTTTTTTCCCCTCTTCCTCTACAGGGTAATTACTCCCAGCAAACTCTATACACTTTAATTAAAATGACTGCAACACAAGAGCAAGTCACTTACAACTGTACATACAGAGAGCTCTAAAAGCTTCAGTCACTGATAAGCATCTCACTTAGATGGCTCGTAATTGCTCCCAGCATCGGGCGATCATTGCTGTTGTTTTGCCACTAATTCCGTACCATAGCAGGAAAGCTAAGATTGCAGGACACAGTGAATTGCATAATTTTTTTTTTGCTGGTTTTCTTTCTGGCCAATTTAAAATTTGTCAAAGTCGGTCTTCTTCTGGATCACTGCCCTTTGATATTTCGCGCACTCCATTTGCCACAAACAAGCCGCAGGGCCGCAGTTCATGCTGACTCCAGCAGAAGCAGAGAAAGCTCCATTTATCTTACACTGCCTGCTGAATTCTTACTCATTAGCTGGGGGTTCACTGCCTCTCTTTAACCCCTGAATGGCTGTCATCCCTCCCTGGAGCTGCTGAATAGCGGGGAAAAGGGAGATGCGCTCAGACGTGTGCCTGTTGCAGAGGGGTGGGGAAACAGGGCGATGGTGGTCTTATTCCAGGCGTCTTGAGACACTGGGGCTGGACTTGCAATTGGGGAGTGTGAGAGCAGAGAAGGCTGGCAGATAATGAATAATTTGTCATAAATCTGTTCATTATCAATTCTGCAGGACTATTGCTGAAATGTTTATTAGCCCCATGTTTTATTAAAATGTCACTCAGAGTTGTGCTATTACAAACCAGCGAACAGTGTGGAGCAAAGGGCAAGGAAAGAAAGGATAGCCCTTATCCTGCCCAAGAGCACGTTCCACGCTGAGTAGGTGTGCAGGGAGAACGGTGATTGCCTAGAAATGTAGGAACGATTCAGATTGCAAGCCTCAGGCCGTAGTTAAAAATCTGGAGGCTCAATTTTATTTTATTTATTTATTACAATTAGAGTAAAACATTTAGGAGTGGAATAAAAATTAGCTTTGTCATGCAGATTCTGGGTATGTAATGTGTCAGTTGCACACGTTGTGGAATGTGAATGAAAGGAATGGCAAAATGGCTCCAGTTAGAGCGAGATTTCACATTTCTCTTATCAGGTATTTATCTCATAGTAAAAGGGAAGCATCTGTCCGTCACCTGATATATCTTGTAATAGCGTGAATATCCTCTTCAGCTGATTCTATGAAATAGTTGGCTGTGTGCTGGTATGCATCTTTAATTTTATTTGAAATTATATGCCCATTTTGTGTTCGTCTGTATACATTGTACAAGGTGTGGGGAGGGGGGAGCATCCAGCTCCACATGTAGTACAGCAGCACTTTTGGAAGTGGGAGGCAGTGGTTGTTTTCTGCACAAACACTGATGCTGTAGACAACCTTTAACTTTCCACAGGTAATATTGCCAGTCAGTGTGTGATGCAGGCTTCTGACTTGCTTCACACTTTGTTTGGCTAAAGAGTGTGCAAAACTTTTCTTAAATTTCCAAATAATGAGTGAACGCTCAAGCATTGAACCCGTAACTCCACTTTAGCGTAGCAGTTCCGCTCTGGAAATAAACGTGCCGGGGCGCAGTACCAGGAGTGAACTCGCAGGTCCCTCTTGGCCCCGACGGTACGGGCTGGTGACGACTTTGCTGCCGGTGACCTGGGGACAGCCCTGACACAGCCTTGTTTCTTGAGTGGCTGAAAACTTCTGCCCTGTGACCTGTCTCGTTCCAAGCTTTAGCTTGGAAAGTTAGATCGCAGCTCTAAAGTCAAGTAATTCTTTTCGGGGGGGTTTTGTTTGTTCAGTGTTGTAATTAATCAAAATGCTGGTTGTTTTCTTGAGCAACAACTAAGAAAAATGCTGCTGTTGTGATTCCATATCTCATGAAGTCTTGGACAAATGCAGTCAGTGCGGCTGTAACTTCGTCTTTTTAGGTGATGCTGATTTCCAGTAACTGCTTCTATATACAAGTGCTGCTGCATTTAAATTGTTTATTGTTGTTAATTCACAATCATGAGTCTAGAATTGCAAGTACTGACTTCTGTCAGCTCCTTCATGACAATTGGCATCTTGAGTATCCTCCCAGGAGGGCTGTAGATGTTTCCCCCAAAATACGAATTTTTTGGAGTTGCGTACCTGCCACACTTTGCCTGTTTGCTCTGATGCCAGTATGAAGCCTTAGGAGCAAAGAGTTGGAAAGGACTAGGATATACAAGGATATTTCAAGCCCGTGTCATGAGCATGTGTGACCTTCAGTGCTGTTTCATATTGCACCTTTATAACATAAATCCTACTGAATATTTACTGAAGCAATTACAAGCAGTCTCATTTAAAGAAACAAGCGACAATCCAAAAATGCCTGTCTCTCCAGGGAGGTGAGCGGCTCTGAGTGACCTTCCTTCTCCCCTCTGGAGCGGCTCCCTCCAGCTGGAGTGGGAGATGCGTTGCCTGGGCAGCCCGGACACGGTTGGCATTCTTGCTGCCTTTGCTGAATTTTTGTCTGGCAAGAGCTTTGTTAAAGGCAGAGGAAGAGAAGGTGAGATTCAGGTAGGAGGATTATTGTTGCATGTGTGGAAATTAGATGGGACAGTCATAACCAGGGTTAAAATCGACATTTAATTATGTCATCGGATGCAGGGTAACTGCTGTACTTCTCCAGAGTTATTTCTTAAGGGCCCTTCCAGCACATGCTGCAGTGGGAGTTAACTGCTTTGCTGAAAAGAATGGCCACAAGCAGATGCCAAGATAAATTGAACTTAACATGGTTTTTTTGGTGTTACCTGGGGAAAAAAAAAAATCTCTAAATTTGCCTGTGGTAATTGTAATTTTGAGATAATCATTTGTTATTAATGCTCCTTTGT